TAAACCATTCTAAAAACCAACAACCATTATTTACAAAAAAAAAAAAAAAAAACCCACAGGCAAATCATACAATTTTGTCAACATAGTTGCTCTAAGACCTTTGCGCAGTTGAGTACTTTTTGTATATTTATAAGGAATGGGCATACGTGCCTCTGTAAGGGAATACATATGTGCCTTTGGAGGCTGCGCTTTCTCACTCATCTCGTCCATTTGCGTCCTCCACATGTCTTCCGGCTCTCTTCATGCACTCATTCCCTGTGAGGACGCCCAGTTTGAGCTTTGCGTGTTGCTTGGAAATGTTCCCTGGTGCTTTTACAAGGGGAAACAGGGTGGTGTTTTCATTCGGAGTGGCTTGCTGCTATTGTAGCTGACGGTGCCCCCGTTGCACTCTCACGACTTCCATGTAAACACACACAAAATACACACCTTAGCCCCAACTCACTACCTCCTTTTCGGTTCGTACTTTTTTTTTTTTTAATGGGTTGCCTGGTAGCATGCTTCCATTTATACGTCATCTCGAAAGAAAATGGCACCTCTTGGTGGAAAAAAATACACCTTAGAGGTTTTCAGTTTTCCCTCACACACATTTCTAATTTGAATTTGTTCATTTGATCTTGATGGTGGTCCAGTGGTTAGCGTGTCGACCCCGCAGTGCAGAGGTCGTGGGTTTGATCCTGGCTGCGACCTTCCTGTGTGGAGTTTGCATGTTCTCCCCGGGCCTGCGTGGGTTTTCTCCGGGTAGTCCGTTTTCCTCCTGCATTCCAAAAACATGCGTGGCAGGTTCATATGGCCCTCCCACATTCCAAAAACATGCGTGGCAGGTTCATATGCAACAATCGAAATTGTTCTTATGTGTGAGTGTGAGCGTGAATGGTTCTTCGTTTCTGTGTGCCCTGCGATTGGCCTGCAACCGGTTCAGGGTGTCGCCCGCCTACTGCCCGAAGACGGCTGGGATAGGCTCCAGCACCCCCCGCGACCCTTGTGAGGATAAGCAGATCAGAAAACGGATGGATGGAGGGTTATTTACTGCAAATGATGCATCTCTGTTCAACTATCAGTGCTAGTGGCGTATCATGACAGCCATAACAAGTTCATGAATTTCCATTTGATGCTAGCAGGTACATTGACCAATCATTGGTTGAGTTACTCGTCATGTTACTCGTCTCCTTACTTTGGCCAGCAGGAAAGTCTCATACTCCACCGACGCAGGTTGCTAGCACGTTGCCAGTGGGTTTTTGTGAATTTTGCCGTTTCTGGGTGGTAGGTAAAACAACCAATTCAAACAACCATCGCAGCCCGGTGCAGTCGGAAAGCAGCATCAGCTGTCCGTCGGGCTGTTCGGCGGTTGCATGCACCTCACTCTTCGGAGCGCACGTGTACTCTTCAAAATGTTTTGGTCACGTCCGGCTGAGTTTATTTTTCAGATCTGTCATAATCCACACGTTCTCGCTTTTTCCACCCAGTTCCACGAGACGTTCTTTTCTCCCCATATTTGGAGTCATGGGAACGATTCCGCATAGTTTGGACATTTCCCTGGATACTGTCCTTTCATCAGTGGCTGCCTTTCGCTTTTGAATTGAACCAGATCACTTTACGGGCGGAGAAAGATACTCTGTGAGCGTGCGTGCGGGCGTGTGTGCGTGCCCGCGTGTGTGTGTGTGTGTATTGGACAGGGAAATAGGACGCGTGCGCTTTATGATGGCCGCCGATGGCGCACACGTCTTATTTCCAGCTCTGTTTTATTGTTCTCTGAGCCACCACCACGCTCTTGCAAACCATGGTACCTGGCTCTGAAAGCTTTCACCGTTGTTGACGTCCATCGAAGCTTGGGATCCGCAGAGCTTTTTTTAACGTTCGGTACGCCTGTATGCAATTACGATTGTTTATTTGATTACCATTTTAGTGAGATTCCTTGTTATTCCGCCCCGCCTCTATTAGTGCTTTGGGTCCTATTTGGAGATTTCTTAGCAGATGTAATCTTTGCAGTGATTTTTTTTTTTTTTTTTTTTCCCCTCAGCCTGGGTTAACAGTCCACCTTATTGTGCAGGCTACAGAGCACATGTTTGTATACGTCCAGGCAGACAGCAGAAAATGACGAGGGCAGATTCGTATCTCTGCGTTTAAGTCCGGCGTGCTCTGATTATAAACTCCACCGCAAAACACTTTACCCGTTGTAAGACCCTATGATCAGGCTGCTGATTTGCAGCTCCGTGTCAAGTTATTTTGCCATGGTAACACTGATTGCTATCGGGATTTTATCTATATATTCGCCCCTTTACCTTTGCAAGCCTACTTTAGTCTTTGCGGCGTATTTTCATACCAACCGCACGACTGCCGCCGCGCCGCCGCTACACGATATCATCTTGACCCACACCGTTTTGACCTCACGCGTTTCAGTGAAGTAGCGGCTCCCCTCCAGCTGTCGCTTGCGTCCGAGGTCACACCTGCCCTTAACAATTTTCTTTGTAGAAAGCTTTGTTCCCAACCAAAGGGCTCTTTTTAAGGGTGCATTTCTGATTTATCAACTCCAATTGGACGCCTTGGTGTGGCTCGCGCCTGGCTCGCAGGCGGAGTTTTTCCGCTGCAATAACAGCCACTGAACACAAGCAGACCATTGTAGCCGCAGCCAGCCTCGGGACCCCCAAGGTGCGAATTAATGATTGACCCCTGATGTAATCAGGATAAATAGCTGCCCGTAAAAGAGAAGGAGATGGCGAGAGGAGCAGAGAGAAAGAACAACATCGGGAGCCAAGGAGAGAAAGGCACTATCTGGCCATGATGTTTTCTTAAGAGGTCCTTTGGGAGGCGAAGCTAACATCTCTCCTTTGGCTGTCTGAGACTCAGAAAAAAATGAACACAGAGAGGTCTAAAAGCAGCCCGGTCATCACTTTTCTCCGCCTCCTCCTCTTTTTCCCTCTTTCGGATTTTTACAGTCTACAGCAGGGCCTCTCAAAATGGATGTTAAAAGTGAAATAGTGGTCTGGTATAATAATCACCCATTTACATGCTTTTTTTAAAAAATTATGATTAATTATGAGCACTTGTTCTTCAATTTGTGTGAACTACATTTTTTTTTTTTTTTTTTTTAATAATTAAACATAGGTTGGGCGTGTGCTAACTGTTCGAGGTGGTGTGCTGAAAATGTTTGGGGAAAGACTCGTCTAAAAAAAAAAAAAAAAAAAATCTTAAACCTTTGAGCTACATACCCCAAAGTTGATTTTAAGACGAACTTACAAATGGAACAAGAACAGAGTGCCATGACACCGGTAGAACATGATCAGTTTGTCCAACTTTGTAAAGCCTGCCCAAAGTGTCACGTAGACACAATTCTGGCTCTAGCAAATTTGCTTTTGCTTTGATGCGTGAGGTGAGGGGAGGTAGATCAGAGGATGTCGCCGAACTTGAACCGTGACGCCCTTTGAGACTCTTTTGTGATTTGTAAATATTTGTGACGAAGGTGACGCAGATCAATCTGGCAACAAAATATTTCTCATTTATTCAAAAGAAAAGCAAACTTGAGTGTTGACAAATCCTTTGAGACCTCGGCGAAAAAAGAAAAAAGTGAAAAGATGAATTAGATGCATATTAAACCAGAGTTAAGAAATTGACTTCATTTTGAATTGATTAAGAAACGTGTAAAACTAACTTTTATTTATTGTTTTTCCCTTCCCATGCAATTTAATGAAGTACATATGAGGAGTGTACATTCAGTCAAGTCATATGTACATTTTTATGTGCACACAGGCTGTTAAAGCCAAATTTAATAGATTTTCCAAGGCTGTCTCGACGCTCTCGGTGGGTCAAGTGTTAGTGAGCGTAGAGGAGTGAAAGAAGTGATGGCAAAGGGGGAAAAAAAGTGTTGAGCAGTCTGAAAACATTTTTGATTGTACAGTGGGCGCTGTGCGCCCGAGCCAAAGTCCTATGCAACGGTGATCATTAAAAAAAAAAAAAAAAGTATTTTCCCGTCAAAATAGCTGGATGACGCAGAATCGGTCATAAAAGGCAGCATTTTACTGCTGTGACTTTATGCGATATGTCTCCTGGAGCCTCGTGGACCGGCGGCGTCAGCTTTGCCAGGCGCTGGGCAGCCGCTGTCCCGCGCTTTGCTAGTTTTACGTTTCACATTAAAAATTTACATGTCAGTTAATTTAACAGCGTTCACAGACCACATCTGTCGCCGGGCAGGAGGCCAAATATTTAGCCAAGAACAAAAAAAAAAAAAAAAGGATGATCTGTTGCCGTGAATGAGCTTCCATGATTCCACAAGTGTTTGATGAGCTCATTCAATCCATCTCCAAGTACTTCCCGTACAACCTCATTCGAATGACAACACTGAAACGTAACCTTCGCACTGCACTTATGAGTGATGTATTTCAAACATCGCACGCTATTAAACAAAAATAAATACAAGAGTAATAGTAACTCGTTGGTGCTAAGGACAACCTGGGAAGAGCTTGCAAGCTGTCGTGCTCCGCTGCATGGAGGGGAGACGAGTTGATGAAAAACACAGCTGATGTCATTTTGGGGTCGGCCAGTCCAGGTTCATATAGGACCTTTTTGAAAAATAAAAGATAATAAAATAAAATAAAATACAGTGGTACCTCTACTTATGAAAAAAAAATTGTAAGTCGAGACGCGTTTTCCATGTAAATGCCCTAATCCGTTCCAAGCCCCCCAAAATTCAGAAATAAAGCATACAAACGCATCAAAATATGTAACAAATATGTTACAATTAAATTATTGTACAATAAATGAGAGTTGTCCATAGTGTAAAAAACAATGAACAGAGTAAAGAATAAAAACGATGGTCATTTAACTTTTAAATGCATCCTCATCGATGTCAGTTCTGAAAAGTGGAGATGAAGGGAAGCGCGCTTTCATTTTGCCAACACCCCATGACGTTTTCCCACAAAGGTTACGGAAAAGCGGTGGCGTCAAGATTCCTGAAATGCGACTTTCCGAAGAGTCTTTTAACAGCGGCGTGTCTTTTGTGTTCTCAGATGACAGTGAGCCAGCGGACAGCATGTACGACGCGGAGGCCGACCTCCCGGGCTTGGCCGCCGGGGGCTTTTGCACTGACAGTCCCGAAGACGAGGCCGAGGACGGCGTCATCAACATGTCTCCCCTGCCCTCACCGACCCCCTCCCATCCGAACAACAACCACCACCTGCTGCTGCACCCCCACATGTACAACAGCCACCATCACCTCCACAACAACAACAGCAGCAGCAATGACCGGGACTTCACCACGCCCAAGGAAGGCTCGCCCTACGAGGCGCCCGTCTACATTCCCGACGACATTCCGATTCCCGCCGATCTGGAGCTGCGGGAGTCTTCGGTACCGGGTGCGGGCTTGGGCGTTTGGGCCAAGACTCGCATCGGAGCCGGCGAGAGGTTCGGTCTGCACAGCAAGGGCAGCTCTTTCGGATGGGAGGTACGAACCAAGACCGGCTTCTTTGTGCTTTGTTTCCGATGCCCTTTTTTCGTCTTCGTAGCAACTGTTCATCACCTTTGACCTCCTCGGTGCAATACAGTGAGTGCCTAGGACATTAACGGAAAGACCCGTGACTCAAAGGGTGGGGGCGGCAAGTAATGCTGCGAGGAGGCCGAGTGATGAATGAGTCCCTCTGCCTTCACACGTTCACATTTCCAGCAATCACAGTTCATTCACAGGCATCTATCTCATCATCATAGCAGGAGCCGGCTCCATTTGCATCCCCATCTCATGATTGGCCCTCATCTTTGACTGCACACACACACACACACACACACACACACACACACACACTAAACACGCTCGTCGACCTATCTCGCTGCACAGCGATGTCAGATGGAAAAATCTCGCTGATTAGTGGAGGTATCAGCTTTTCTGGGCGTCGGCCCGAGCGGGCATGCTCGTTTGGTCACGCCACCCGATATGGAAATGGAAGAAGCATGACCGAATGCGATGGCGGCATATTGCACTATTAATTTTCATTTTGACTTGACATTAGGCGATATTGAAGTTGCTTCAGTAAGCTCGTTAAGAGAAGAAAGTCAACTGGTCTCTGTCTGTTCCTTTCTCTCTCCGGTGTGGCCAATCGGACGTGAAATATTCTGGCTCGCTTTTCATGTCACTGATTCCATGTTGGGCTGCTCCGTCACTGCCCATAACTTTTTTTTTTTAACAGTGTAGCTAATCTTGGGGATGCTTAGTTGAGCGCAGACCACCCCGCAAGGTCCCACAATTTAGATCGGAGCACCGCCGTAATGTGCAACTTTGTAGATTTTTCTGCACATGCTGAAATTGTGGTATTTGGATTTTTGAAGTGGTTGCTCAAATAAAAAAAGGAAATGTTAAAACAAACAAACAAACAAAAAGTGTTGAACAAGTTACAATTTACGAACCATTATTTGGAAGTGTCTCCTATATGGATGGCTTCCTGCATGGCCCATGACCACCCATTCATGAACATGAAAATGAAAAATGTGAAGCATCCCCTGAGGTAGAAGAGGATTTGTTTTGTTCTTTTTTTCCCCCTTAAACGCATATAGGTTTGCCCATGGGAATCACCGGAATAGGAAGTTTCAGGGCCAAACAGTTGTTCCCATAAAAACCTTCAAATAGCACAAAACATATATCCTGCATATGGAAAAAAAAATAATATTGAAATGGCGACCATGAGTGGGAATTGTTGTACATCTGTATGTGCCTGGCGATTGACTGGCTACAAGTTCTGCATGTCCCCAAAGTCAGCTGTGGAATCCTTCAGCGGACTCTGGATGGTGATATCTGTCAAAGTAGTAGAACAAGAATAAATGAATGCATATTGAAACATTTTTTAAAAAATAACAAAGGTGTAACTCAAAGAAATTTGCATCAGACTTGCTTAACTTCTCCTACAAAATCGGATGGTGACACTGTTGTCTTAATCCATCCATTTCAAATAAAAACTGCACACACCCCCGCTCCAAAGCGAAAATGTAAATCTTTGATGCTCACTGAACTGAGTGCCGCTGAGGTACGCTTAGCGCCGAATGAGCTTGGTGTCGGTTCCTTACACGTCCTTCATTGCGTTAGGGGCAGTTGTCGAATGTGTTAGTGATTAAAGAACGCCGCCGCACACATGCTGAGCGGCAGCGCGCGCTTTCCTTGTTTAACATTCATATTATGCGTCGCCATTCAAGGTGCAAAGGGCAACGCTCCAAAAATGACACGCGCAAAGTATTTACTTTCTTTTCTCCCACCGTGCCCGACAGCTGCATATTCATCGGCATGTTACGTTTCACCAACGGCTTCGTTTCGAACAGGCGTTCACAGACACTCAATAGAAAAAAAAAAAAATCCACGATACAGTTTCGACTTTTATTTTGATAAACGTTGGGAGTCATTCATGATTTATTTCTTTATTTTTACGATGAGATTGTTCCCCCTGAGGTCCCTTCTGTTTCCATTCAAGCAAAAAAAAAAACCAAAAAAAAAAAACATGTGGTGTTTGCTCCCCAATCGCAGATGAGCGATTGATCCGTCTGGCCTCCTCCTGACTGTGTCTCAGGCCGTATTATTGCTTCACATTTCCTGTCTACTTCGGGGCTTGCTGGAGCCCTTCAGGGGCTCTCCTCGCCCAGACCCTTATCGCAGACAGTCATAACAGTTGGCCTGTTGATAATCACCGACAGACTCCCTGAGGAGAACCGTGCGCCCCTTTTCACCATCGACTCATCTAATGCCTCTGCTCTTAGACAAATAGACAGGCAGACCTGTGCGAGAAGTGAGGCAAAGTACGTTACGCCGCCCCCACTCACTCCCCCTCGAAAAGTGATGTGTGAATGGTTGGTTGTCTCTCTATGTCTGTATAGGACTAGCAACCAATTGGGGGGTGTACCCTTACTTTTGCCTCAAGTCAGCTGGGATAGGCTCTCGCCCCAGCCCTCAACGGCAATACATACAATCCATCCATCCATTTTCTGAACCGCTTTATCCACGCAAGGGTCGTTGGGCATGCTGGAGCCTATCCCAGCTGTCTTCGGGCAATAGACGGGGGACACCCTGAACAGATTGCCAGCCAATCGCAGGGCACGCATAGACGAACAACCATCAGCGCTCACGCTCACACCTTAGGACAATTCAGAGTGTTCAATCAGCCTGCCAAGCAGGTTTTTTGGAATGTGGGAGGAAACCGGAGTACCCGGAGAAAACCCACGCAGGCACGGGGAGAACATGCAAACTCCACGGAGGCAGGCCTGAGCCGGCATCGAACCCACGACCCCTGCACTGTGAGGTGGGCGCGGTAACCACTCGATCACTGGGCCGCCACATATAATAATAATAACGATCATAATGATGATGACCAAAACACCAAATCAGTATGGTTGCCCTCCAATGGTATCTTTCAAAATTGTACAAAATATTTTAATACATTTTTAAAAAGATGCATCTAAATATTTAATCAATCCCCAAGTAACTCACCCGATTTGAAATTTGAACGTGTTAGTAAAACTTGAAAAGCGTTGCATAGACGATGTCATTCTCGGGACTTGTGAGTGGGAGTTAAGCCGTGTTGTGGAGGCTTGAATGGCATGAAAGAAGAGGAAGGCAGAGAGGAAGCCCGCTATTGTCCGTCTCGGGGGCATCGGGGGACTGGAAGAGGTGTTAATTCAGACCCATTTCAGCGAGACGGACAGCTCAATCTAAGAGCTGCTTTGCTGCAGGCCATGGCCATTCTCTTCTGTCTCACACGGGGGCTCTTTGGGCCTGCACCGAGTCATCCATTTAAAAACCATTATGCTCCCCCTTTAGCGCAACATGATAGAACACCGGGGCCCCAAGTCTACAGTATGTGAGTGTGCGTGTGTGTGTCAGCAGCGCCAACCCCCCCCCAGGATAGAAAGACCTGCGCGAGCAGAGGGGAGCTGAAGCCCTCAACGAGGTCCCGTGCGGGGGATCTGCTGTCAGGGCGGCCGCGGCTATTATCTGGCTGCGAGATTGGCCTGGTTCTCCCTATTGATAGAGACGTGTCATGCTACAATGGCTTGGGCTATAGCGACTCACTGATCTAACGCCTCCTGTTCAGATGTAAGGCAAATGACACCACACGAGGACGCGTTTGGCAAAAGCAGGGCGCGATGCTCTTGCGTGCGTGTAAAAAGAGCAATTACTCGTCCGCGTTTCGAACCCTGAGATGAAAAATCACAGAAATTGCACCTTGCCCTGATGTGTACGGTGGTACCTCTACTTACAAAATTAATATGTTCTGGGAGAAATTTCTTGACTAGAAAATTTTGTAAGTCAAGACGTGTTTTCCATGTAAATGCCATAATTCGTTCCCAGCCCCTCCCAAATTCTGACATAAATGTTTCCTAAAGCATAAAAATCCATCAAAATATGTAACAAATACATATTACGATTAGATTATTGCACAGTAAATGAGAGTTGTTCATAATGTAAAAAACAAAGAGAGTAAAGAATAAACATGATGGTCATTTAACTTTTAACTGTGTTCTCATCGTTTTTTGCCCTCTTTAGTTCATGTTGTCTTTCGGAAGTGGTTTTTGTCTGGCGTTTTGTAAAGCGCTGATCCAAGGATGTTTGTTTTTAACAGTCCTTTGAAAATGTCCAAGGCAAACATCAGCATAGTGAGCGGCCCAACTGGTGAACACTTTTTCTGTGTGATTCACATTTACGTAAAACTATCGGAACGCCTCAGGGCCGAGGGGGCGAATGACTCACATAGACACATACGATAGAGGTCCCTCTTAGCCAATGGGATGCCAGGAAGCTGCTCGGTAGTAGCCAATGGCAGAGCAGCTGTAAGTATGTTGCGTTCATGAAACTCGGAGCTGCGAGTAGCAGCCCAAGCTGTATTTTTACCTTTACCTTACCTACCTCACAGCACACCTGATGATCTCTTTGGGCGCACAGTTGAAAACTGATAATCCAGTACATTAAGTAAAAAAATAATAATCAGTCAATTTTTTTAACTGCCACTGTCAGAGAGGTATTCATCTCACAACATGTTTAATCTTTATTTGCAGAGGTTTCTAATATTTTGTGTCAATGATTTAATGACAAGCTGGGCACAAAACATTTCAAGCATGTTAGAAGAGCATTAGAAAGGTTGTCAAGGTGCACACCTTTTGAAAATTGCACTTTCAGTGGATCCCAATAAAATATACCAAAAGGGACGACAACAATTTCTAAGAATACATCGGCGGCGACGCCATATTTGTTCTTTTTGGGCCAGCGGGATGACTTTGTTGCAAAAAGGCAAACGGCTTTCTGCCCGTCTTACATTCTTTTTCTGTTGACTTTTTGTGGGGCGATTTTCCATATCAGTGCCATTCATCCAGTGATGTGTGGAAAGAGGAGAAAATATGCTCGCTCTTCTGTTTACCCTCTTGTTGACATAGTGATAGGCCAAGATGTCTCGTGGTTATTCTTATATAAAGCCAAAT